ATAGTGGAATGCTTGTTAATTTATGAATTTCTTGGGATTTATGGACACCCTTCTTCCAAAAATGTAATATAGTCTGACATTGTGATTCTAGATCTGATGATGTCATGGTTACGGCTTTATTGTGATAATATGATAATAAAATTTTTTAAAAACTGTATTACAAGTAAGAAAAAACAATAACAAACGTGTGTGTAAAATGCAATGTGATATTATTGTTTATGCAAAAAGTTATCACGTTTTAAATCACATGGCTTTTTGGCCAATTATTTTTGTAACACACTGTATATGACAACGCGTAAAAATCTTTGTATAATTAAAGGCCCTTCAGAAGCAAAGTTGGTAAACTTAAAGAAAATGTAGGAAAACTTCGGGTAATAATAAATATTTTATTAGCGTTGATTTTCTAAATAAATATTTTCCCATAAATGCATATAATATAGTCTACATCTTTATAACTGCTACAGAATTTTCTCATATAAGATCAAAAGTCATATATATTCCAGCGGGAAGTAAAGCATTGAACGCGCTTTTGGAGGTAATTATAAAAATGAACGAATTGATGAAGAACCGACAAATTGATGATTTGATTGATTCTAAGACTTTGATTATTTTTGAATAGGAGGAATTCCTACTATGTCAATAACCAAGGAATTTGGTGAATTCAGAACACTTTATGCGTTGCAGCATAACTTCCACTCAACATGGGGGAAGGTTAATATTTCTCCAAGTAATATATATAGTTATAATTTTATTTAAACATCCAACGTTAAAACATCTTTTAGGCTGCTTTTATTGACACGAAGATAATTTCTTCTTATAATGCAAATAAATTTATTCTTAAAAAAAAATCACAGTGAAATGATTTGGAATTGATCAAGAATCAGCACTTGAAAATATTCTTTTTGCGCATGTGTATACTTTAGAACATCAGAAGAAATTAATTATTGAACTTGCAAGGTTTGCCGAAGAAAGATGTGCTTATAGGCTATTGGTAATTACCATCAAAAAAATTTTTGATTTTTTTAAGAAAATAATATTTAAATATATAATTATATATATAATTAGCAAGTAATTAATTGTATAATTGCATTGTTTCGAACTGATTATGCTGGTCGCAAAAAGGCAACAAACAAAGTTTGAATATTATGCTTAGTCGATTAACCAAAATTTCAGAATAATATAATGTTACAATATACATCACAAGCCAAGTAATGATCATTTTTCTGTTTTTAAAAAAATTATCATTATTTTCTTCTGTTATAGGTTCAAGCAGATCCAGGAGGTTTTTTTTTCGATTATCTTGATATTTGAGAACATGTTCTAGCCCACGCGTGAATATTTAAAATATTGTTGATGATGATAATAATGTAATGATAAATATAATAATGATGATGATAATAAATTTTAAATATCAACGGTTCGTTTATATCTTCGAAAATGGTCATGTAGATGAACGTATTGCAGGAGCTCGTAAGTTTTGTTTATAATTAACACAAAAAAAGGATTTAACATTTGCCGTGTCACAATCTCTTTCCAAAACTCGCAAGTCGTGCGACTTCCGTGCAGTTTTCTCGCCGATTGTCTCCTTTTGCGTCTAGTACTAGCCGCGCCTTTTCTGTTTTTGGCGCGATCAACGTTTTCACCATATTTAGCAAAAATTGTGTCGTACGGCAAATGCTTTACAGTCAACCAACAGGAGGGAACGTCCTATATAAGGAATGGATTTTCACAATTGATTTCAATTTTTTTTTATACAGTTTAAAATACTTTTACAAGGGTATTACGTAGCCCATTCTTACAATAAATCATGTGCAAATAAT